ATGCGTTTAAGTGAGCAATGGTTACATCAGTGTGCTACCTCAAATCCTGGGACCATGGTAAATTGAGTTAGCAGAATGTCAAGTCAATAAACCTATATATATATATATATATGAAGACTGCGTCACACATATGTAACGCATGTATCACGATATCTCGAATATAATACCAACTGAAACATGAGACGGCCTACTGCAGCACATTCGGTTGCCTGGAAACAGCATAAACGACAGATTCAGTTAGGTTCCAGGTGAGACTCTCGCAAAAGCAAATTTGTTTGCAAATGACTGCAGTTCGCTAACTCCGTGCAATTTGGTTTCAAGCAGAACATAGGGTTGACGGGAACTCGGGGATTGCGCCTGCCTGGTGAACCCCAAGAAGAGCGAAACCGGTCGTCGGCTGCCGAAAAATTTTCATCAACCGTATGAGTAGTGTGTCGTAGTCTCAAAGCAGCATGCCGATCGAGAACCTTTGTATGCTTACAAGCGTCCACGCGATAACAGATACACTCTCCATATGAATGCCAGTGTAAATGAGTTCTCTTACGCCACGTTATCTATCGATCACCATTACGACATCTACAACCTTAGAAACTAGTCAGACAGATGAGCACAAAGTTGGTTTGGCAAATCATCAGAAATACTCCTGGCAGCCCCACGAGGGGGTTGCTGCCTAACTAAGAGCTTCGGAAAAGTGCAATTGAGATGCACACTGTTGATGATTTCCAATGAGGATGAAACAGCTGTACAGTGCCTGTCTACTCTTCGGCATAGATTGGTTTTACTGACAGGACGAAATCTCAGTTAAAAGATATTAGACTGAGAACAGTAGGATCTGAATGCAAGACGACAGCCAAGTTACGCGAGCAGTTTTGACGCTCAACAGTCAATAAGCAGCACTCAGGCATTGTTTGTGGACGACCAGTCAGAACATGTTAAACGGGAAAACGGTAATATGTTCTCATGCATGAAGTTCAATTGGCACCAGAACGTGAGAAGTACAACTGTTATTGCTCAAGTTAAATCTGTACTGCCTTGCCATTCGTAACCAACAGAAATCAGAATGCTTGCTTGCACATCTGTTGTCCTTCGATCATTCGAGTAACAACTATGCCGGAAATAAAAACATCAAAGCAGTGATAATAAAATCCATGCGGTAGATGCCTTATTTACGGTTCAAACGAAGAAAACTTGATGGACAAAGAGAAGGAAAGACTTACCACAGGAGATTGCTGTATTCTGCTGTTGAATTTTGATGAGTTCTATCGGCGTGGCAGGAATCAATTGAGCCATTCCAGATGCCGCTCCAGCAGCTAAACAGGCGAACACTGAATTCCCTGTTGGGTCTAGCTCTTTCAGTGTGGTCTTGTACACACCGAACGTGACAGCGTTGGTAATTGCATATGAGTAGAATGGTAGCGTTAGACCTCTGAATAAGTTCGTCTGCAACAGTAACATAGCAGCAATTTACTGGGCTCCCTAATCCAAATTTTGGGATAAAAAACAATTAGTTCGAAAGGTAAATCATAGCTGGCGAATGGATTACTGTAGACTGACTTAAGCGACTGAGTCGCTTTGTAAAGTGCTTCAGTTTGTCTCGAATCAAAATATGCGCATAGATTCGAAAGGAGGACGTTATAAATAAACGGGTTTTTGACCTCTTCAATAAATAAACTGGAATTTTCTCCAGACACAGAAATCAGAGTATATGTAGAATATAGCATCATTAGTATTGGTGACATTATGAAACTTATTTCTGAAGAACAACTCAATTTATGAGTAAGGATTGGTAAAAGAAATGTACTGCAATGACTCGAACATCGTATCAACTAGAAAATGAGACGGCCTTTGCGTCGCTCATTCGCTTAAATAACAGTAAAAAAAGAAGAATTAAGCTGAGATTCAGTTGAGCTCCTCGTTAAAACAAGATTAGTATGCAATCGAGTGTATTTTGCGAATTTTATCCACTATGGATTTCTGTAAAACATGAATTAGACGGAAACTCTGAGAACTGCGCTTAACTAATGAGCCTTGGTAAGGAATAAACCAGTCGTCGGCTGTCAGAAAGTTTTCAGCAGTAGTTTTTCATCAAAAAAACATTTCATGCTACTTTTGAACTCCTTGGAAATATATGTGTGTAAGCCTTTTGGCGTTTCAGTAACATCTTGGCATTCCTAGATGTTTTTATTAGCCAAACATTTTGACGAAAATTGATGAACTCTGAGCTCACCACGTGACCACTTGTATTCGCCATTATCCTCATTTAAACTGCTTCGTACTCGCTGCCTAAAATTGAGGTTTGTTGACAACCGTTTCCCTTTGAGCTCGAAACGCATGCAATGCAGATAAACTTCCAGAAGACAAGGACCTTCCAGGACAAGCGCTCACATCAAATAGTTATTCCGAGAAGTTCAACGCCACACAGTAAATCCAGACTATAGAGCGGACCGAATTAGACCACACTCATGTAGTCATGTGTTTCCCATTTAGAAGCAACCATAGAGCAGAAACATCTCTCAACAAATCAAGCCACCCTTGGTACACACGTTTCCATTACTTGATATGAGGCTTGACTCGACCTGTAAAGAGATCGCGTCGCTAGTTAGTTGTCGAATTTCCTTCGTTCGATCTGCTTCACCTTTTATGTATCAGGCCACCTGTAGTTGCGGTGAAACCTATACTGACAGAATAAATAGAATTCGCTCACAAGGAGTGAAAGAACATCTTTCAAAAAAGTCTAATAAAAGCCAGTCAGAAAAAGCCATAAACAGTCTCGTCGATCACACGGACTCCGGGTTTATCGACCGTCCGGTGTCTTATTGAAACGAATCATCCATAAAACTTACGGTTCACTCCCTATCTACTTGCTCGTTTTAGTGAAACCAGACTGAGCAATCAAAGAAGGCCAGCCTTCTGCAAAAAGTACAGAGCAGAAACACATATCTACCCGCCACTCCTGTGAACCAATGTCAATGGTTCTCGTTGATTGTTGTTATGCTTCTGTCACATAAACGTGGCATGTTTCACTCCGCGATTGGCGTAAGCAAGTGAATTTTTGAAAGCTCGCAACTAGTCTTGTTGCTGTCCTATGGAGAACCATTGAGAAGCTGTCTTCTAACATCATTAATTAGCCTTAAATTGGGTTTTAGTTTGACAGAAACGATGGAGATGGAAAGTTCTTACGTTATCGTTTTCACTCGTTTTAGTAAACCGAAAACCTCAAGCTTTCGCATCTAATACCAGAGAGAAGGACAAAAAATCGCAGTGGGAGGGGATCAATAGCTCTATTAAATGGAGTATAAACAGTGGCATTACAAAGTGACGACAGTGTTTTCTGTTCTAATCAGCTTCTAGCATAATATCACCCCCGAATATTTCCTATACTCTCCAAAGATCCTCAAGACTATCAACCAAAGTATGATTTCTCCGGGGAAGTATCCATCTGTTTCTTATTTGCCTTGTATACTACTGGCATACAGGTCCTGCTATTCTCTACTGGTGTACGCATGCTGTGATTGGCTGAAATTATCGCAGTTCAGAAGCTCGCCAGGAATTTAGAACAAGGTTGTTATAAATTTTCCGGTGATCTGGACAGAGCTTTCTCTTACGTAAGGTTCAAAAATGCCACGATATTGTTACTTCCGTAATCAATAAACTGTTGATAATTCACCATCACTCTTAGCTGAGAACTTTGGCACAGGCGCAACCAGGATACAAGCTCTTTGGTGTCTGTAATAGCTTTACACAGAAGGTATCAGCGGATGTCCAACACACTGCTTATCCAGTTTTATCTCAGGTCATAGCCACTACACGCTGTCCAAGCACAAACCTTTTACCTACGTGACCCTCAGTTCCTAGAATCCTGTAATTCTCCTCATGGCCTGGTGTACGGCCAACCCTGATTCATTTCATAAGACTCGCAAATTAGACTTTGTTTAACATGATTCTATATTGCTTTTTCACTACTTCATGTATACTATGGCTTTTTAATCGACTAAGAGTTCGTCTGTCGAAAGCTATAAAAAGTCATTCTAGTGGTGATTTCGTTCACCTTATGAGCCAGGTACACAATTTCTGGTCAACAGGTTACCTCAAAAAGCTTAGCAACCAGAACTCACTCACTAAGAAATCCACCAGTCGGAATGAATAACCGGGATAATAGGGTTAAAAATGCCGGTCACCCAATAATGCAGTTGAGAGGGTGTTTTTAGCCTGATGAGACACTGTTCTGTCCAGCGCTCATTATCTCTATTATGGGGCCCTTGATCGGAGGAGATTTAAAAACATTCCTAAAGGAGTGGTGTCCCGCTCTGAGTGATCCGTTCTTGAACGGAATTACTGCATGCATTATCCTGGATTACGGAGCCGTTCATCCTTCCGGCATCCATCTTAGTGCCACCGACAAACAAACAAACAACACTGACGTCAAGGTGTACTTGTGCACCAAATGGCACTCGATTAAGCTTTGTGGAAGGCCACGTGCTTGGTTAACGGCCAACATATAATCTGTTTACATAGAAGGTTCATTGATCTCGGACCACCCCGGTTGTGGCGATGGGGTGACAGTTGCCAAGACTGGTTCGCTCACAAGTGTGGACAAACTGGAAGGCTGTATAACAACTTCAGGGCCAAAAAGGTTAATTCTGTTTTACCTTCATTACCACACACCATGTGATATTATTCAGTATATGACAGTTCGCAATGCTGTGCAAAACACTAGTGATCACAGAACATCTTTTTGAATATGTACAAAAGGCACTTGCTTTCATGCGGACTAACAATCCCTGGGTACGTATTTCCGACAATATCACGCACGCTGGGCTTCGTATTTCCAGACCAAATTTGTGTTGGCAGGAAAACGAATGGAAACGACTTGTTCATAATTCTCGTTAATAAAGCTGCATCCCCATCTGGTTTACTAATGGTGTATGTCTCCTCTTGGTATTAGGGCTGTCAGGGACATCGACTGCACACCTCCATGAGAAAAGCTGAGAATCACACGTCACACACACTTCGTCCGTTGTTAACGGGAGCCACTGAAAATAATACAATGGGACCTTCATGGTCGCCAAATAAACCGGTGAAATTAACTCATAATCGTGTTATGCCACCGAATCTGAGGATTAGTGGTAATAGCAGGTCGTGAAAGGCAGGACAGGTTTATTCAATCAGGCGAAAAATACTTGGAACCGATTGAGTAGTCATCGTTATCGAAAAAGTTTGGTGACAATCAGTAGATTTATTGCTGGGCAATGTTTCGCTTTTGACACAAGCTTCGTCAGGCCAAGTGGCTAGGTTCCGAGGTTGGTCGAGATTTAAGGCGAAAGGCGAACCAATCAGCTAAGTCAAACTAAATCTCTGTTGGGTGTCGGTCGAGGGATTTTTGTGTGTTAGGATGGGTGAACAAGTGTTGGGTCCATGGGAAACCTACATGTGTTTGAGTGCAGTCCAGGGTCTAGTTCTTCTGATTCGGTCCATTTTATGGTCCCTCTTGAACGTCGTTTGAACTTTCTGTCCGTCTGTGTGGTTGAGCTAGGGCTAAGACAGTGGTGTAAGAGGGATGCCGTGACCGTTGGTCAAGTTGGGATTTGCACCCTCACCCGCAGTTTTTGCTAATGATTCTACGTGGATTGACAACCATACAGTCTCGTGTCAACTCGGCTTATTTAAGACCGCTTTCCATAAGTTCGCCAGTTCTACACCGTCGAATCTATTCACGTTGTGATGCTTAGTAAGTTCCACCGCCTCGGCTATCAGCCTCTGTGGTGTGAATTGCAGTCTCCGTCTTAAAACTGGTCAAAGACTCAGCTATGGCGGTACATTCCTTAGACACGGGACATAGAATAGATCTGGTGGATGTGAAAGTTTTATCTGACCATAGAGACCATTCCTGACAACCATACAACAATACGGTCCTTAAAATTGACCGTCTGGAGCTTAACGTACATACCAGTATTCCAATTTTCGCAGCCGTTTGCACAGAATGGAAGCACTCATGAGATTGGTTTGCCTTGTGTGATAGTATGCAGACAAACCTGTCCATCGGCTACTTTTTAGAAGAAAATTGAGAAAATTCGATATAGATCACGAATCAAGCGCTCCTTTCCCCACCACCTCTGTTATTGACTACAAACTTTCATAAAAGCGAGCTTTCGATTGGCTGTATAGAGTTTTTGACCATTGCCGATCCGGAGTAGATATTGATGGATTCAACTAACACTAGATGCTTCTAGGGGCTGCGTACCATTAGGACGGTCAACCGAATCTGTCTGGAAGAGGCCACAACTTTAGTTGATATGACACCATGCTTACTCATGTAATACAAAGTGTTGATTGCACGTGGATGGACACTCCAACAAGCATCCGGTATTCTTCAACGTGAAACAGAAATGATATCTGTCAAAATGTCCAGTATCTATCCATTCGTGACAAAACAACCCTGGGAATAGTTGGATAATCCTATCCTTTGCACGGATCTCCAAGGGCTAGTGGCTATTTCCAGCAGTGTCAAGCTAAAACTTCGAATATATCCACGGAAATCGCCCTACTGATATATATTAAGGGTGTAGCACATTCTGATGCCTGGAAACATCGCAAATGAGAGATGCAGCTGGGTTCCAGGTGAGTATCGCGCAAAACCAAATTAGTTTGCAAATGAGTGTATTTCGCTAATGTTTGTTTCCTTGTTTTACAGTGTAGTCAGAGTGGCTTCCTGTTAGTTCTAAACAACATTTACTCCTAAGTGAAAAGTATGCACAGGCTTCAAGCACCCCACTTTTGTTTTATGGTGTCTAGTGAAAACTTGCCCTCGTTATTCTCTGGGCTCGTAGGACAGTCACTCCATCAATTCAGCAACAAAACCTTAATAAGTTAGCAACCGTTCAGTTAATGACTTCAAATGTCAGAGACGCCGTTTGAGAGCATACCTAAGAAATGCTGCATTTATTCACTCACTGGACGAAAACTGTTTTGCAGAACGTCTATCTCGGATCAGTTCACGACGCTGTTATTGACTAAACTTCAAACCCATGCTCAGTTGGGTTAACTAATTGTGAATAAAATTCAGTACAATTGTTTAGCACTTATTGGACAGCCTATTAGCGTAACGATAACCGTAGCCGAAGTTCTACACTTGGGTGTGAAAGCAGCCCTGCCGAGGGGCATCAAGGATATATGGAGAAGGCCTGTATGATGTCGCTAGGTTGCAATGTTAATTCATTTACAAGGGTCTCGTGATCGGACGACGTGAGACAGCACAGATAACTTGAAACCAAGACTGTGTCCGACCTTAGATGTAAGTACACTCAAGAGGGGAGCTAGCATGGAAACCACTGCAGTCTACCCTTTTCCTGTCCAGCGACATAGCAAAAACACCCAACCCACATCAAGCCAACTCCAAAAAAACAGCAGTGTGAACAGCGGGGTGACCAGGACATTCCGAGGTGGTTAGGAGACAGATTAGCAGCAAGGATTTAGGTGACAGATGGACTCGACGGCCTATCAGCGTCAAAGTGCAACTCTGTGCGCCTGTTCTTTCTGAAAGTCGGCACTTACTAGAGATTTCTAACCCATGGTGGACTGTTTTTATTTTCGCGTCAAAATTTCACTCAGCCATGCCTTCGTTGCGAAACATCTGAGGGACCAAAATTGACTTCCGCCATTTTGGATCTGAATTGGTTTTATGGATTTCAGAGTGGGCAAAACTTTCCGGCTAGTACGACTAGCAGTTATACCAGTCCACTAAAAATAATACTGGAGGTCGAATCCGTGTACAGTAATAAGTAGTTTCAAGTATCTTACTGCACCAAACTGTCTGATATTCTTAAAGATCTCAATTGCACTTGGCTTCTGCGTAGAATTTTGCATGAGAATCTTCAGCGTATCCAGAGGGTGACCGATTACCAAACCAGCAATCCCTGTCGAACAAAAAAGAAGAAAAATTACTGATAATTCACCTGAACGTTCTGTATATTAGAACCGAATGCAATCAGTCCGTGAAGCATAATCGTTTGGGCTCATTGGTCGCTATATTACAAACCGCAATTCGAACCGCCAATTCGGGCGAGTGAATGTACACGAAAAGAACGTCGACAGCGAACACATTATGTTCCCATCTTGGATAATGAGATATTCACCGAAAATCATGTGTGCATTTAGACGAATTCACGATTCCGTGAATGAAAAGGGGAAAGAGAGGTAATGGTTCTTTGGGATGTTGACTCAAAAGAAGTAACTCATGAAGTCGTAAGTTCCAATCTATCTGGGATTTGCACCCAGAGAGGTGCCCAATACTGATGAACCGGCTATACAATGTTCCTAAACGTTCCGAAAATTCTCTTACAGGACGAAAAATCGACTGATTTACCTCACTGGGAAGTAAGTTAGTTAATCTCGCAGGCCAACTAAAGTTCAAAGGTAGTTCAAACTTATTCTGAGTGCAGTGTCGTATGTCAACTAGGTTCATTCAGACTGCAATCGGTGGTAGTTTGTATCGTACCAGTTTTGATTGGTTCGCGGGCACTCGGTGTATGACATGGGAAGCAGTTTCTTTGTCTATGACGTGATCGGTTTCCGCCATATGTGGCAAAATAGTACTGCAGTTATTCTTCCTCCAACCAACATCCAGGGACGCTGGATCGCGTTCTCGTATTCTCTCCGACTCCCTATCATGCGACCAACCTACGCTGCCGAGCACAAGTAAAGGAATGAGCGCACATAGAGACTGGTGTTTCAGCCTGGCTCACTGTCCCTTGTTCATTTCCGCCCTCCTTATCACACATTCATCCGTGAACTTGCCTAACTGTACACATGAGTTACGCTGATTATCATAAAAATATTTGTTACATACTAGCCGAGGAGACCAATTACAGCAACCAAGACTAGTTCATTTCACTCAACCTTATTGTGAAAACTGGAATTGACGAAAGTTATAAAAACACCACAGTCACTCTCTGTTAGGATCAGTCAGGGGTGTTGAGACCCTATAATGCTGCTGGACAGACAAACAACACGGTTTCAATAAGATAACTACAATGGTTGGAGTGTACTTCCTGGTAAATTCATGTTCCTGAATGGCAGTCACGCTGGCTTATCACATGACTTCATTCTACTCTGAAATCACATGTCTCGAACCAATATGGTAGATATAAGGCCATTAAATCTCAGTGACCCACCCATATTGGTATTCCGTCAATGGGCGGTCTCATTTTGACATTCCAGTGAATAGCCACTAGTGAGGGGTAGGCGGTCTACAAAATTTCTGTAAATCCGCTCAGTTGTTCTCCATTATTCAGAACAGGCGCAACGAAAAATATCCAACAGTGGGCATCCTACCCAAAGCCAAATTATTTTCTGATTACTTTGAGTTACTGCGTATCCGCTTCTTCGAACTATCCTCTTTTATGTACGTCTGTCCTAATGTTGGCATACAACTGTCTAGGCCTATCGAATGAGTTGAAGTATGGTTTAATCATATCACAGATGTGTTGACTTTGAGGCCAGAACAGATAACTATTTGTATTATACATATAAGTCTTACGTTCTTCGTGATTTCTGAAACATTCTGTTTGTTAATCAAGGCTAAACAGCGATACTGAGAGCTATCTCGCACTTCGTACCAGACATAACATTCTCTAGCATTGGAGTTTTCTCTCTTTGTTCAAATTGAACGTATGTTTTATCAAACCGAACGGTTCAATTAGAGGATGTAGTTACTGGTGTGCTGTTAGACCACTACATGTTTCGTTGACTATACTACCAAACACTACAGTGATTTGGAGGTCACCAACTAGAGTGAGGATGGTTTCATGGAAGCCTTGAGTAACATACTGCGATATGAAACAGGAAGGCTGACCGCCCGTTTGGCCAAGGATATGGGCATTCACGACTCAGTTTATTGTGTATACACCAATCACTTGCAAAAAGCCAGTCTTTCTCAGGCGGTTATGGCTTATGTGAGGCGAACAGTTCTTTGTCTGTTCAGACTGGAAAATTCAGGCGCATCCAGCTTCCCAGAGTTCAAGCACAGGGCGTGAATAAGGATGAGCTGATCGGCTCAGTGTAAGGCTCGAATCAAGGGATTACTCCATTGGTGTGGATTCACCACGCCAGGATAGGAGGAATGATGTGAACGATTCCCGCAACCAATTACATCGTATTCTCTATCGTCAGCTAGCTGCCACTAACTGCCACAATGTACTAAGTTGTGTTGGAGAAGATTACTCCGTCACAGAAGGGCATTCGACCGTCCACTTTGAGCACTGTCAAGTTGCAGACACGTATGTATTATTTATTGGGAAGAGCCTCGAGTTGTGTGTTATATTGATTCCATCTGCATTCTGGTCAGACTTGGTGAAAAGAGCTAAACAAATCTCATGTGCGCTGCCTCTCCGCTACAGGTTGCCGTAAATTCAGTATTTGTTGACTGAAGAATGATCTTCACTACAGGTGGATTACTAACCACAAAAATAGGTGTTGTTAACTGGTCTAACGAAAGTATGTTGCAGTGTGTTCCGTTGATTAGAAAAACCAGATCAACTAACATCATATCACCTTTGCCAGAATGTTTCACGGTTTAGTATGATGCATACCTTCCATTCATCCACGCTACTCAGATTCTGAAGTTCGCCAAGTATTGCCAGCAATATAATCTACAGTTGGTCACACATCCTGTTACCTTAATACTACAAATGGTTCGCGTTTCCTGATGTCAGAAATGAATTGACAGACGCTGCAAAACAATGACACAGATTGGCCAACATTTGTTCTTTCCTCACTGTGGTTTCCATCAGTATGGAAGTTCGCAAAACGGGGACCAAGCCACCCATTCAATGGAATGTCCCCTGTTGTGGAGATTTCTGCCTGGTATGAAACTACCCTCGAATATTAGCAACTGTGTGTACCTTCATCAGTCGAACGTCCTGAAATTTGCTGCTTCCGTTTTGAAACCAGATGGGCGCTGCTGATCTTGGAATACATCTCTGAATGGGTTACTTGATAAGTCAGATTTAGATTAGTCACTCTGGTTAATCTGCTGGAAAAATGTGCTTAAAGTTGGCATCGGTGCAAGTAACAGAGAGCTCACTTGTGTGACTCAATACGTGATAAGTAAAACTTTCATTTTGTGCACGACGAAACCAGCCACTGAAACTCAAACTATGGTAACCCACGGGAGATGAAAATTATTCTGGCAACATCCGACTTACCCCCGACTGCTCCCGCGGTAAATTCATTAACCGTATCACTGGCAGCCCATGTTATCCTGAAGAAGAAAAACAATAAAGCCCGGTTAGAATCGATATAATCAGGTATGGATCGATAGAACACGACCGTGATCACCACTCACTTTGCACGAAATTCCTGGGTTCCGGTAACCATGTTGGTTATGGTGGGATTCCGATGAATTTTTAAACCGTAAAACTAAAAACCACTAGGATAAAATAGGCAATACGGTGTTCATTACATGTGGCGAAGCGTAACAGCTCCAGGGGGATATGACTATCCAAGCTGGTGATTTAGAGAACAGAAGTCCCAGACAAAATTGCAGTGACGAAATGAATACACTCGTGAAGGACGTGGGACAAGGATGACTTTCATTCGAGCGTCGTCGTGCAGAACTGAGCTTTGAAGCACTGAGCTTCAAGTAAACTCCGCCGCTTACAGTGCGCATCGCTCATATTTGTACATGAACCGATCATAGTACGACGGACAGACCCGTTAAACCACACACCTACACAATGGTACGGACGGCAACCATTTGTTCAAAACAGTTGATCAGTGTTTTGGATTACGACAGTCTGTTTGGCTGAACCCCTTTTTGTACTAATTGTTGCAAGTACCCATAAAAGAACACTCTGTGTAGGCCAGTTTGCAAGTATGCACGGAACGTAGCATTCCGACGTGAGATAACTACTCGAAGAAACTGAGACGTATGTTGTCATAATGTAGTGATATTTATGTCATGTTCTGTGCGCAACATCAACGTGCAACGTCAGCCTAAATAACGCTTCCTTATTGGTCTAGAATACATCAGATCATCAGGCCCAATTCTAGCTAATGTATTCATGAGGATGATCGAAAGACAGTTGATTAATATTCGCTTGAAGCTAACCTAAAATAAACGTTATGTTGACGACTTGCTGACCATTCTCAAGGACAAAGCTTTGGCCGTAAAAGTTTGTTAAGCGCCTCAGTACCACTGACCCAAATCTCACCGAGGCTTACGAATGGGCAGCGGACAGCAGCCTCCCATACTTTATGTTCATTACACGCAAGCTTGATGGATCTTTCAAACGCAATGTTTACGATGAACGTATGTGGTCGGGTCAATACATGGATGATTCGAGTTTTAATTGAATGAAGCTTAAAGGAAAAGTGCAAACTTCTCACATGGGCGTTGTTCTTGCACGCTAGGTTATCTCTCGGGTAAGGTAGGATTTCCAGCGAACGTAGTGGTTGGAAATAGATAAGCTCCATGGGTTGGTAAACCAGGCGGTGGACAGTATTCAGTACGTCCTAGCAGTAACGCTGCGCCCAAAAAGTGGTTTTTATGAGACTTCCTTTTAGGAAAGACAATGCAACCATTGAAACAACCAACGCTCCGGTGGTCCGGATTCTCAGCCAGACCCAGGGGTTAACGCCACAATCGGTCAAGGAAATGACTTAATTGGCGCCGGATCCCACTACGCATACCAATAATAATAGTAGCGGGACTAACAGATGCCTCAATGCTCAGATGAAAGAGCACATACCCCTCTAGGTCCGAAACCCGATAACAGCCAAAAAACCGACATGCCCACCTGGGTGCCACCTGCCACCGCAGTCATGGATTGGCGAAAACTTTTTGGCCAGAGGCAACCGGGTGAATCTGACCTCAGAAATCACTGTTGTACTTGCCCCCCAGAAGTCACGTGTTCTGAAGTTCCTCGAGGTTAAATCATTCATTCGATTATGGCCCTCTTTATGAATTTAAAAGAAACTCCACGTGAATCTCAGACTTTCCTTCACTCAGGACAAAACTTGTAACTACTGTCTACTGACTAGTCTGGGCGCTCTCATTTCGTCAACTAAACTAAAACAACTAGTTCGAGCTACATTATCGCTGACTAGTTGGACCCTATCCCCCTTATTGTAAGGGCACTATATTGAGATACGTTCTCCGATTATTGGTAGTTTCATCTATGACCTTAACCTCTTTACACTTGCTCAGTAGGTTGATTTGAACTCGATAAAACAGGTTCAAACACAAACAGCTCTTGCAATTTTCCGGATAGCTATGATTTTTTTATACTTGTGATGGGTGATTTCTGTGAGAAGTGTTTCACGAAACTGTTTATCCGTCCCCTGTACTATCGAGATTACTCGCCTTATTAAAGCAAGACAAGTCAACTAAATGACTGTGTACACGGACGTTCTAATTCGCGCCTACTTCCAAGAAACAATACTATAAATGTTAAATCTGCAAGAAAAGGTGGTGGTTCTGGCACGGCACTGCCCTGCTGTGCCGTCACAGGTGATCAAACGGTGATTTGCCCGACTTTACGAAAAGGTTTATAAATCTTGCATACCGCATTAGTTTTTACTGAACACTGACAATACATGCAACTGATTACCGTGGTACTACAGATGCGAGAGCTGATGCTTAATGGCTTCACTCTATTCTGACCTGCATCTGAGTAACACTTCGAAGCAGGAATTAGTTTGAATGCTGTGTGAACAAACATGGATGAAAAATAAAATTGCGTGGGCTGCTTCCCCTTCACTGGGGCATCAGGCATACATGTACTAAGTACTTTGCAGTAAATCCATCCGAATGGACATTCTTAACTTCCAATGTTGCTGAAAAAACTAACAGTTGAGCAGTTTCTCCTTACTTTATTGTGTATATAGTCGGTAGCCGCTAGGTCTAGAGCCATCTCACCTGAAAAAAACTTAACTGGGTGATGAGGTAACTCAGAGGTAGAGGAAATAGTCGCTGTGGCTTAGAAACATATCAAGGAAAGTTCTTCTGTGACAACAGACCTTAATATAGAATAACTTTTCACAACGCACTGCCGTTAATGAGTCTGCTTTTTCTTTACGTGAAGGAAAGAATACACAGTATGTAGTTTTCAAAAAGTTGGTGTCTAATTCGTATGCGCTGCATTTATATCATTCAAACTGAAAGGAACTATACTTTCAGCGAAGTACATTCATTTACAGAAAAACAAGGTTTTGCGAGAGATTCACCTAGAAGCAAGCTGAATCTCCAGTTTTTGATGCTTTCAGGCAATTAAATGTGCTGCATCAGGCCGCCTCACGTTTCAGTTGGTACGATATTCGAGATATCGAAATATGTGTATATGTCTAATGCACTACTCATAAGGTCACTGAAAATTCTTTGACAGCCCACGACCTGGAAACATCACAAACGAGATATCCACCCAGGTTCCAGGTGAGTCTCTCGCAAAACCAAATCTGTTTGAAAATGAGTGTATTTCGCTAATTTCATGCAATTTGGTTTGAAGTAGAACATGAGGTTAACGGAAACTCGGGGATTGTGCCTACCTGACGAGCCCCAAGAAGGGTGAAACCGGTCGTGGACTGTCCAAGAATTTTTAAAAACCTTATGTGCAGTGTATGACAAACCATTCATTCCTTTTTTTACGAAATTTATTTATGGAGGTTTTATGGATACTTTTGGCGCGGCGAAGTTCATGAAAATTGTGATTGTCTCCATGAGGATAAAATGCGATTAAGCGAAGTCGTGAGCATTTAATGTTACTCAAAGCTGCTTGATATAAATGAGGCTTCTTGGCTCCGTATTTTCCAGTTCAGAGAAATTGACAACGCGATATATCGCAGGAAGAGCGACATTTCATTGCAAACATTGCAGTTGTAATAACTGAAACTGTAAGTTCATTCGTCAGACAGAGTTCCTTTTGAATGTTGTCAGAAGCTGAGGATTCTTGAGTCCTAATACAATACCAAACGATGCATACGCAAAAAATGTTCTAAATCCTATTTCCCTGTAGAAACCTGTGTTTATACTGAACAGAGGCATACAATAATCAGACGATAGAACAAGGTCATTGACTTCACATTTCCCATCTGACTGGCAGAGATCAGAGTTGTTAACGATGATTCCTGATGAACCTGATGTACCTCAGTTGCTTTCGCCTGAAATATCGCATTTTCACCCCGAGATTATCGGATGGGACTGAAGTTCATATGTTCTCTCGGGTGACCGTTTGTTTTTCGGGCCACTGCGAATTTGCTTGTAAGCGTGAAAAGTTGGGCTACCGTGTGTGATGGCGAAACGATTATCAACCGTCGTATTGGCCCAAAAATTTTCGTGGGATTGACATGCTCCCATTGGCTTGTCCACCGAGGTCTGCTTCAGTAAGACGAGTTCTTTCCACAACCGATTGCTCACACCTTCCCTAAATTGTTTGTAAACAACATCCTCAGGAATTCACACTCCATGTGCTGAAGAGCTTTATCGGATAGTCGATGAGGCTTCCTCATGAACCCGATCGCATTTTTATGAAGCCACTGCATTTGGTAATGGAACTCTCTTCGGTTGTACGGCGCAGCTTTAAAAAGAGAGGTTCTAGTCATAGATACAATCATATGAGTATCTCTTGTCCACTACTTTGCAGATCATGCAGAAATCAACAGCGTGATTGCGGACCCCTTCAACCAATATGCAGGACAATACATCACATCGTCTTTGGGTTAAGAAATCCTTCGGGTGTCTTAAGGATTGTTAATTCCGTTGCCAGCGGTTGTCTTCAAGCACAAACTTTCCTGGAATTACAATAGGTGCCCTCCTTTCTTGGTATGTGCAGCGTATCAACATCTTCCCCTCAGATGCGGTCAAATCTTTCGTACCCGACAGTTTAGTTTTTAGGGGTGTTTCGAGGGCTTCATGCATTGTTTGTAGGTTTGTGATACATTAACACTGTGAGGGAACCGTCGAGCCACATGCCGGGAACAGCCAATAGTTCGAAAACAGAAGGACCACATACTCAGTCCAAAATCTAGTTTTTGGTGTTTCATCACAATCCACGCCTCCCTCTTACGATGACCAAGAAGACAAGTTTCCGGCAGGAGATAGCCGGAGAGTCACAAGAAACAGTTGTTTATATAGTTTTTATGAAGGAAGCTACTCACAAATTGCGAAAACTCTTCGACAGCCCACAACCAGTTTTGCTCTTCTTACGGCTAATCAAGTTGCATCAGTTACTGAATTTCTGTCCAATTTATGTTCTACTTGAACTTAAATTGGAAAATGTTTACGAATAATCTTATTTGTATATCACGGACGACTCATTTCCATCAAGTAGTACGTAGGTCTGAAGAAAGCTCGGGAAATCTGCCTACTTGATCAGCCCCAAGAGGGTCAAAACCAATCTTTGGCTGTCGAAGAGTTTTTGGAAAACTTGTGAGCAGTTCCCTTTATCAAAATATACTGCGATGTCTTGAATATAGTACCAACTGAAGCATTAGGTGCAGCACATTCGGCTGCAGAATATCACAAACGGGAGGTTCATTTGAGTCTCACATCAAAACCAGACTGATGTGCAACTGAGGGTATTTGTCGAACAACTATTCGTATAAGTTTGCATTCAACATGATGACCACAGTGCCGGTTATGCAGATATACGGTCACGGTGTGCCGCTTACGGTGAGTTAGGCCGAAAACATTCACTAAAAACTTGCTGCCTTGGTTGCCCAGGCAACTCGTCGCGCCTGGGTTGGTTAAATACGCCCCAGAAAGCATAAACTTCGTGATTGGGGTTTTCCGATATAAATCCTCACAGCAGTCTAATGCATACACTGTACTGGATTTCTCAGTTCAGGATGACGGCTCAGAGGTATTTTACCCTCGAAGAAGTACGAAGTTTAGTTCTTTTCCGACTGATGCTTTCCTGGCTTACCAGCATAATCGCATCGTCTCCGATTGCGCACTGCCTCGCCACTTGCCTGCTCGAATGTCCCAGTAGGTTTGAGAGATGAGATTTTGTGCTGGACCATCCGAGTCCATGAGCCATTCGGGGAGTAACACTGGTGCTCACGTCCGCAATGGTGTGTATGTTTGGAATGCAGCAACCTGCTCGCGGAGACATGAGAAGTTGTGCATCAGTGGAGCGTGTTTTTCCTTATATTGCCTCAGTTAATCAAAGGGTTGTATTTGAATTGGCACCGCGACAGACAGCCAGCAGAATTAACATACGAAACTTCATTCAACGCCTGGAATACGCCTTTTATTGATTCTTACTTATTTCTACACACCAGGTGTAACAAAAGTAATTATCGAAGGATTTCTGCTAGCACAGCCATCAATGCAAAAGTTGGTACAAACCGATTAGGATTTTGTACCCCCAAGAATAACCGGTGATCCATTGACAGACTGAGTAAATTCTGTTCCGGTGAGAACAATTCGAGGAGGCGTGAAGAGTGACCTACCTCAAGTAATGTGTAGCGTTCCATTTAGTGGGTACATACAGCTAAAAATAACGAAAACCAAAGAGAGACACTGACTATGGTATGTTGTAAAGCAATGTTAAGTCAACTAGGAGCATTACGAAAAAGTCCACGAATCAACTGATAGTCCATTAAGGAATGTTAGTTCGTGACTTTCGAAGTTCTATACCTACCAAATCTGGTCAGCTGTCCCAAAAAAGGCCGATAACATTCTGGCTTGTTTTGTGGACTATTAGTTGCTCTGGACTGACTGGAAAAAGCATACCACTGTAGATACCTATGAGCTGAAACTGACAAAACGCCCGGAGAGTTGTGTTTTCCTGTTGATCCTATGTTGAAAAAATACAATAAGGCTTCAGCGCATCAAACAAGCGACTTTTGTGTCTAATTTGTACCGAAGTTGTAGGTCAAAAACATGAGAGTCCGGTGTAGAACGCTCCCGTAGCGTAAACTAAGATGAATTTAGGGCAATCTAACTCGGATCCCGGTTAGGGTGGAGAATAGAACATATGTGGTGTGGAATTTCCTGAATGAGGGAAGTCGTATAAAACCATTTTTATTTGGTTGTAACCATTAATTGTCGAGGCCGATGTGTTCAAAGCCCACTTTGCTTATATGGATAGTCTCCTTCGCCAGAATCTTTACAATCATTCCCACTGAACCAGAAGTCGACTTTTGCGATTGGACGAAGCAATATGCTTGATATTTCATACCATGTAAACAGGCATCTAATAAGCAGTTGAAAATCCTCTGGAGTTTTCAAAGCGCATTCGAAGATTATTTATTACATTGTTGGTTAAATCATTAGTTACACTTTCCAGTCAAAAAAGTCATGGAGAATTCGTCTTGTCACGTTGCTTAATGAATCTATTCCACACGTAAATAGGTTGGGCCGGACATTCGTCCTTCTGACTAGCATACAAACTGTTTAGTCTAGGCAGTCCATTTAACAAGTAATATTGGCTCTATGCTTTGATGTGATATTCTATATACTTGTTATGGGCGTACGCCAGGTAGCGTAATCGGCGACTTCACGTACAACTTCCGTTTTGAGAAAACGTTCACTTACTTGTTCACAGACAACAACTAGCCTTCTTGATGAGGAGGAATGTGAAGATTGATATGGTTGAGGGTTCCAGCCACTAGTGCAAGGACAACTGACTACACGTGTCGTGTGCTGAAACATACACTTTGTACGTCTGAGCATGGATGGACATGAGTGCACGCACCGTCTGTCTGAGGGACGGTCACAAGCGTAGACAACAGTCCCAAAATAACTGCGCCCCATTCATGGTTGTTTTAGGGAACACGTTGTCACTGCATGAAAAGCACTGTTTGAATAAAAATCAGATGCTCGTGAACGTGATAATTTGCTAATATTAAGAGCATTATTCGCACAGTCAGGATGAGCCCTCCAGTCAAAAAAATGTCACAGCTGATCTCATGAAGTATGCATGATTTCGCCACTCTGTTCTGGTTGAGAAAAAGCCTCTCAAACTGAGCAAAGAGCTAAAAAAATGAGTTCAAAACAAGGGGAACCACACCGCACGTGAGCAAAGACTACCATATTGATTCGCATGAGTTGGTATTCGGTCTTAGTATAGAAATCAAGTAGAATTTATATTTACAATGACTTGTGAATAAAGAGTAACATCAGGGGATTGGGGTAGGATTTGGCATTGATTGGGCTTAAGCTTGTCCAAAAGAACAACATGATGTGTCTTGATGTTGCATACGGACAGAATGTTGCCGTTTGATATCCGGCATTACAAGTTGTGTTTAGTGGTTACTATCACGACGTGCTGTCCTAACAGGATGTTATGTCTATATTATTCCAACGCCAAACGAAAGGTTAATAACTCCACAGTCAGAAACGCCGACCATGCAGCTTTTACGCCTTACTCGCCTATCGGTACGTACCATCCGAAAATGGGGTGAGATACGGATGTTTTCCGAATGTAGAACACGCACGACACTTGCATGTGGGTATGAAAGCCAGTGTGACCGAAAAGTTGGACATGGTTATAAAGCGATACCGGTCAGTCTGCGCTATCGCAATGCAGCTGAATATTTCGCAAGCGTCGACCGTGAACTATGAGTTTTCTCTATAACTTTTTTCAGTAACAGTTGGGCATTCCCATATTAGGTTTGGCAAGACATCAGCTGACGAACGTGCAATTTTGGCGACTTCGTTTTAGATGTTATTATCATTTGTTTTTGAAGAGCATGGTCACAGACATAAAAAAATGAATGCAAGCGACGAGTGCGAAAGGGTAATAGGAGAATATGAGAGAAAAGAGAGAAATGTCGCATTCGAATTCATGTCACCCAAAGTTCAAGTAAGATGAGGTGAATCTCAATGTATGTAAAAAAATTTTGTATGGAAACACGCGTCCAAAGGCCAACAACAGAAGAAAGGTCAAGCAATGTTGAATGCTCTTTAAGGCGCGGTAGGCGCTAGCACAGTCAAGACTCCCACATCAGGCACAAAGTTTCCATCAAACTGGGTCTGATGTGAGATTAAATGGCAAAAATGTACATTCAACGCCATGTGCCACGCATAAAAATGTCATAAGTACGTAGAGAGCCCACAATGACAAGCAGACGCAAGTCATTAACTGTGACCTTAAGAAGTCCCAGTCCAATAACAGCCTTAGCGGATTGAGGAAAGCAGATCCCTCGATAAGTGATCATCGGCTGGTGGACAAAAAGTCGGCAACCCAGCCGATTGCATGTAGGGCTGAGATTATGGCGAGGGAATATTCATCAGCACCATACTCGTGCTTCTCCTCATTCCACACAGACACTCTGCGCCCGTCCGAGACTATGCTGACGTCTATTACAGTTGCACGGCTATCTCGAACAGCGATTAGGGCAGATTTGATGAAAGACGTCAAAGTAGGTGCCATAGGCACATTGGTTCCAGCTATTACAGTTTCGGTCTCCGGAAAAGGGAGAGTGGAACATACCACCAGTTTTGCAGCCACACCCAGTGGGCGAAATCGATGCTAGCGGTGCGGTCAGAGGACACGACAGCGATCGTACAGCTTTCCGTGCAGTGGCAGCGGAGTCCCCCTTGAAAATACGGACTTTCGCAAACTGTTCAAGCCAAACAACCCTACCGTTTGCGGTTTCAAAAGAAA